TTTTTCTACCTACTTCAGAAGGTAGAAGGTAGAACCTTCCCAAACATTGGGTAGGTTCCCAATGTTTGTTCCAAATTCAGAGATTTGACTAACTTTCTGTGTCTGTGCAGCCAGTCCATCATTACTGCAGACACGACTTCACAAATTAAGAGTAATTCTTCATGGTCAAAGGATGAGCTCTATCCCAGACCCATCACCTAATAGCCACGTGGTCTTAAACAGTGCACTTCACCTTTGAAGGTCAGTTTCCTTGGGTGTCAAATTAGGATGGGAGCGACCTCAAAGAATTGGGACCAAATAAGGAAAAGCATGTGAAGACATTCTGTCACCTGTAAAAAGCTAGTCATATGAAGCAGTTAGTCATCTTTATTTTAGTTCTTTTCTATGGAAATTAACACACCTTTGGTTTCAAATGAGAGGGGGGAAAAAAAGAAAGCCCTAAATTGAATAGATTTAATAACCTTGCATGGGTTAGTTTTAAAAAAACATACTCTAAAATACTTATGTGAAAACGGGAATTTCAAACTGAGTCTCATGATTTGTCATCAAGCTTGAAGGCAGCTTCCTAAAATAAGAACTGTCCCCTTCATCAACTGGCATCAACTAGATTATGCATTGCAAAACAATCAGCCCATAGTTCCAGAAAGAGAAAGGAGAAAAGAAAAACTATCTATAGAGCTTCCAATTTTTCTTGAATTATTAGTTGGTGCTCTGCAGGATTTCAATTTTTTTCTTATGAATGGAGCTTCAGAATTACACAAAGCTTAATCTAACTAGAGCTGCCACCACTCAGAAGATGGGGAGGAGAGAGGAAAAGGAGAGGGAATGATGAGACCAATCCCCCATTCACCTTTCTTTCCAGTGAATAATAAAGTCTACGGGTGAGAGTATCAGTGAGATGAATTGGAATCTACCGAGCCTGAGGGGAAATCTTGAAGCAAGGTGGGAGGTGAAACAAGGTTTTCTATTCCTTGATGCTTCACACAGATGGGAGTTGAGAAGTTAATCATGTCAACTCTTGTTTGACAACAATGACCTAAAAGTGGTTTGGGAAACATCAGCAAACAAGATGTTCCACCTACAGGTAAAGAAAATAGTAAATAGGGTAAATACAATCTGCCTAATATGTTTATACTAAATAATTTGTATAAAAAATAAGCTAGCCGCTATGCAAAACTTAATAATAATAATAAATTTGGGTCATTAGACTCAATATATGTCAGTTTGCTCTATAGTCATAAAACTACCATTAATATTTCCTTTGTATTTCTTTAATATAAAGGGTACATTTGCAAGTGTCTCTCAGGTAACACCTTTTACTTTGAGACCCCAAAGCATTTTGACCATTTTTGTTTTCATAATTATACATTAATATAGTGACATACTTTAGGATTATTTAAGGTTGTTCTTTTGGGGACCTTTATGATATTCATCCCTTCTAACTAGTGAAATATTGTTGGCTGAATGAGTAGCCACGTTCATGAACTCATCATGAATATCTTTTATGTCCACTGGGCTGTAACATAATGGGGACCCAAGGAGGGGCTCTGATTTGGGGGTTCACTTCCTGCTTCTGAGACCTGACAGCAGAAAAGATTTTTAGAGGTACTAGTAAGTGTGGGAAGGGGAAACAGAAAGGACTGAAATCAAGATGCAGAAATCTCATCCCTGCCTCCTACCAAGAGTTTCCAGAGAGATGGATAAGAAGTTTAGCAGCTTGGAATCCTCTGGTGGAGCAGTGGTTAAGAATCCACCTGCCAGTGCAAGGGACACGGGTTCGAGCCCTGGTCCGGGAAGATCCCACATGCCGCGGAGCAACTAAGCCCATGCACCACAACTATTGAGCGTGCGCTCTAGAGCCCACGTGCCACAACTACTGAAGCCCGCGAGCCACAACTACTGAAGCCCACTCACCTCGAGCCCATGCTCCGCAACAAGAGAAGCCACCGCAATGAGAAGCCCGCGCACCGCAGCAAAGCGTAGCCCCCGCTCGCCGCAACTAGAGAAAGCCCGTGCAGCAACAAAGACCCAACGCAGCCAAAAATAAATAAATAAATAAATTTATTTTTAAAAAAAAGAAGTTTAGCAGCTCTGCAGCCCTCTGGAGAAGCAGTCAAGGCCAAGCCCTTAGAGCCTGGGCTGCCAGCCCACCGCACATGGGCAGCCATAGCAGGAGTCCCTTGTTTCTAGAAGTTTAGAGGAAAGTTCTTTAGCTGCTCACATTATGACCTGAACACCCTTCCCCTCTTGTGCCCTCACCCCACAGTAATTTCAATTGCTGCCGCTCTGGAGCCCCCCAGTTCAATGGCTTTCTTGAAACTCCTCCTCTCTCACCCTGACTGATAATCCCGCACAAAGAACCACAGAGAACCACACCCATCTGGGCTCCTGTTAACCTGTGACAGTAACCGCAGAGAAGGGTAAGGCTCAGGAAAAGCTGACTGGTACAACAACAGCTTCTTCTGAGTCCCCTGTTGTGTTCTACCTGGCATGGCCACATTCAGGATGCAGGAGAGAGAGGAGAAAGAGGAGACAGTGTCCACTTCTCCGTGTTCATTTTCAGTGGTGTGGATGAGGCACACATTGGGACCCCTTCTGGGTTTTACCTCCTGCAGAGGACCCAAATGCCAGCCATCACCACCACTACCATCGTCATCACCATCACCGCCACTGGGCACTTATTACGTGCTGTGCGATATTTTAAGCACTTGTACATTTAAATCCTCGTAACAAGTCTATGGGGGATATACTGCCTTCCCTGTTTTACAGATGAGGAGAGGCACACACTGAGCTCGGGCCATTAGCCCAGCTAGCAAGTAGGAGAGCCAGGACCCCAAATCCCAGGTAGTCTGACTCCAAAGCTCACAGGTTCCACTGCTACATTATATTGCCTCTCACAAAACACAAACTGATTTTGAATATCTGATTCTATTTTTGCATTCTTAAAAAAAACCAAACTTTCCCTTATTTAATGTAATACCCAGCAGAGTTGAGACTTTTATCATTATTATTATTATTAACTATTATTGTCATTACCTTAGGAATTTTAGAAATGATGTCAATCTGCTTTTGGAGCAGACTTTCTGGTTTTTTGGAGGGAAAGAACCAGAAAGGGCTCTTTGGTTGCATAAATAAAAAACACGTGCTCTTATTTTTCTTGGAAAAAAAGTGAAGCTATCATAAACCCGGATATAGATGCTGCAGCCCATCCTATTAAGTTCTGTTTTGTAATAGAAATGGAATGTATTTTTAGGATGACTGTATCCTTACAGAATTAGAAAAAAATTTTGGTCCCTTAATATGGACAGGAATTGAGCGGTTGGAATAATCCACAGTGTTGTAAAGACTGGATAACCCAGAATTTGGAGGGCAGACGTCACTCTCTGGGTAGTGGTGGGAGCTCCCCATGAAGAAAATGAAGGTTTTTGGTGTCAGTCATTCCATGTGTGGAAGGGAACAGGAGACCAGGGGAGAGACCTGGAGATGTGTGGTGGGTTCTGAGCTTCTGGGGAGAAGGCAAGAAGCTGGGGGTGGGGGAGTGGGAGTTCAGAGGTTGGAGACTGGCCTGGGAGCCCCCAGTGCAACCCCTTGTGGTATTAACTATGTTACTCTCTGTTATTCTTGGACTATCCCTGGGCTTTCAGTTAATCTCCAGAGCCTGGTTTTAACTATGCTTTGGGCATTTGAAAAAAGGGCCAGTGCTCTGGAAACACATGTGGCTGTGGAGGGAGAACTTCGGGCGATGCATGGACATGTCAGCATGCCCCCTGGGGTCCCAGAATCAACAAGAGGAAAGGCACCCCGCGAGAGAAAAGATAATCCATCTGAGAGAGAAAGAGGCTTTGACTTTGGGAGTTTGGATATTGAAGGACATTTAGTCCTAGTTTAAAGAGGTCTGGAAATAAATCTGGGTTATGCTAAAATAATTTCCACTCTGAACAACAACAGAAAAACCAGCTTGATACATAGTAGAAGATGTTCATTTTACTAGTCAAGTACCTCCCAAACTTAAGAAACAGACCTTTATAAAGAAAAAAAATTCTTATGGATTCTCGGTGTTATTATTATATTAATTAAATGTATAAAAATATAAAACTAGGTAAAAAGTCCTGATCTTTGTAGTTCTTAGACATAAAACCAAAACAAATTTCAAAGTTAACCCAAACAGAATTACAAAAGTACACTTTTATTAACAATAGCAATTTAGTGTAACTGATGATGTTGTTTTGGTGAAACTAAATGGCCAAAATGGTTTAAGAGCAGAAAGGAACAGGCTTAGTTCCAGTTCTACATTGTGATCTTGGCAGGCTTTTGTAGAGAGTACTTATCAGGATAAGTATACTCAAAAAAATTACAAAGTTCTAAAGCTTTGTTTTCTCCTTCAGGATAAGCAGACCTCCAACTTAATAATAATAATAATAAATTCTGCCAATGAGCAATCTTCAAAGGCCAATTTTGATGATCTACCACTTGATAACCATATAAAGCTGCCTTATATGCTCAAAGATGAGGCTATATTTGTGGCATTTTTGAAACATGCATTTCTTGAGAATCTAATACAACTATGGTGTGAATCAAACAGAACATTTTTCCATTGTGCATTTCATCCTGGCTGACTGCAAGCTGGTGTAAACAAAGAGGCTCTCTGGATAATACATTTGCTCACTACCTATGTGAATACACTACTCTCAGAGCAGTGCTGCTTCAGCAAGCCTATACCAACATGGGCATGTGCTAACTCAATTCCCCCACACCACCCTTTTTTTTCTATTGCAAAACTTTCAAATAGTGTGCCATGTCATTGTCCTCTGTGTGATGCAAATATGAACAGAAAACAAAATTGCAAATGTAAGCACTGAATGTAGCAATAACAGCATATCATTTTTGTGAAGCTGTTATGGACTAAATGTTTGTGTCTTCCATAAAATTCGTACATTTAAACTCTAACCCCCAATCTGATGCTATTTGGAGCTGGTGCCTTGAGGTGATGAGGGTGGGGCCTCTATGACTGGATTAGTGTCCTTATAGGAAGAGGACAGCCCAGAGCTCGCTCGCTCTCTCTCTCTACCAAGTAAGAACACAGAGAGGAGTTGCTGCCTTCAAGCCTATAGAAGAGCTCTCACCAGGAACTAAATAGACCAGCACCTTGATCTTGAACTTCCCAGTCTCCAGAACTGTAAGAAATAAATTCCTGTTGTTTAAGACACCCAGTCTATGGTAGTTTGTTATGGTAGCCTTAACTAAGACAGTGGTCATTTAGATGATTAAGTAGAGACTTGATGTTTTTCTTTTAAGATTACCATCTAAATGATAACTCCTAAAATAAATTCCTGGGCAGAATACAGAAATCCTCAGGAATACATCTGTGGACTCTAGTCTGAGAACCAGGGTGGGTGTTTAGGCTTCCTAGGCTGCTCTGGCTTGGATGTAAGAACAGCCATGGACCGGGCTGCTCCGGCCCTGCCCCCACCTGCTCTGGGAGAATTCTAGCCACCTCTCAAATTCCCGGAAAATAATTCTAGGTGTCTCCGGATGTCTCTCCCGAACTCTGAGAACTGGTTCTTACAGGCCCCATGTAGTGTCAGCCCTTTGGCTGTGGCAATATTTCTGGTCATTGCTGAGGAAGAAAAACATCAGTTCTATCCCTTGATGTCCCTTAAGGCCACCACCTCAGTTACTTCTGCTTAGCAAGGGCCCCATGGATCTGTCTGCCATCATTGCAGCGTCAGTGCCAAAGCCGGAGCCTAAGTATGCGTGGCTGAGCCTAGGGCACTGAGGTGGTGGAACACAAAGGGGTCTCTGCAGTTGTTGCCATCAGAGCTGCTGATGCCTTCACCTCTCCGTATCCCATGGGAGTTCATAAGAAACAGCTTTCCTAGTCATTCCATGGCTCTCCAGCCCTCTGCCCTATGAACCTGAGTCTCCTCAGACCCTCAACTCTGTCTCCTTCACTCAGGCAGTCCGTTGGGTTCCTCCTGGGTTCCCCCTCCCTGTACTGTGGCCTGGAAACTCTCTCAAGGCAATTGCTGGGACAATTGTAAGGCCCACCTAGTTTGTTTCACATTTCTTAGGGGTCACCGTCCTTCATTGTCTGATATTCACTGTCTTAAAAAACATTATTTCATTTAACTTATCAGATTTTTTCAAGTTTTTTTCAGGCAGGCGGGTAATTTCAGTCCTTATTGCTCCATCTTGGTCAGAAGTAGAAATTCCTGAACTGTTCTAGAAAGTAGAAGCAATCTACACTCATAACCACATTGTATAGGCATTGCTGTTGTTCTGCATCCTCATGAACTCTTGATATCTTCAGACTTTCTAATTATTTTAAGGATTAAATTAGTTCACATAAGAGATTTAATGTGATTCTTCTTACAAGGAATCTAAAGTTTAAATGAGAGAGGACCATGGTTAATCTAAAGGAATGAATCTCTAATCATGAAGTTTCAGGCAATAGGGTACCAGGTGGAGGGATATGCCAGCACCAGGGGAATTAGTCCTATACTCTTTACCATTTGATTATTTCTATTTGTTTAAGGAAAGTAAAATTGTTAACTCATTAAAATTAATAGTTCTGTGAAATAGTGGTAACATTTAATGCCTACTATATATAAATCATAGAAAAGCACTTAATTCTGTAAACAAAGAGAACCCTAGAGATTCGTGACAAAAATTTCCCACTTAAAGTCCAGAGGAAGACACAAAGATTAAGTGTACACTTACACACACAGGGTGTGCTAGGCGAGAGGAGCAGCATCAGCTGGCCACTTGGATCACTTTGTGAAGCCCCACCCTCTCTGGAGACTGTGTTGCCACTGTTAAAAGCACTTACAATTGTTTCTTTGAAAATGACAATATTCCCCAGAGAAACTCTCAAGGAAGAAATCTAATTATCCTGAAATTATTGAATTCTCTAGGTAACAGAGTCTTTATTTCATTTTAAGGAAGATTGTTTGGTATTATTCATAATGGACTATTCTATCCTCCCCTCTCCCACCACGGTTTGGAGAGAGAAGCAGTGGAATTCTTCAATTCTTACTCTGCACCTGGCCCTCATCAAACTTTGCAAACACCCAACACTGTGCAGAAACATTTGGTTTAAAAAAAAAAAGACAAAGCTTTGGTAGTAAGCATACTCATTAAACTATAAAAAGTCTTTATAATCTTCATTTTATTTAGTTTTCTGTATTTCTATATCCATAGTCTTCATTCTGAAATAACATTTGTCTTGTGGTTGCTGACGGATGTGATGAAACAATCCAAAATCTGCATTCCACAGTTCTTTACAACAGACCAAAATAGCATTCTTGTTCACGCTACGATACCCCAGTGTTGGCGTGTATTCTGGCCAACTAGCAGAGGGCGAACAGAAAATACTTTATTCCTTGGTGCTAGAATATCCTCTTTATAGATACGAAATTGCTTCCTCCAAGGAAGAAACAAAGGTGCTTTATGCTACTTTTCTCCTTGGTCTAACTCAGAGGGTACAAGAAGTGGGAGACAAGGGTGGTCACAGCATTTGTTTCTGGAAATAAAATGTTCATAATTCCTGGTAAATGTGAATTCCAAGAGTTCACCGATGAAAATTAAGAAAATGTTTTCCATCAAAGAACTTTATTTTGGAGGCTGTAAAACTCAAACTGCCAACAAGTTTTCCACACAATAAGCCCTATTTTGAAGTTTCTCAGATTTTTGTTTTAAGGAATGGTAACCTATGTCTTCTACGCACTCCTCAAGAAACACTTGCAGCAGAAAGAGGTAGCTTGGATTTAGCTGGAAGTACTAGAGTTGCGTCTCCCACTTGCCACGGATTAGATGTGAGGAACAAAAGAGAGGGCCCAGGGGATAGTTTAAACAACCGTTCACTCCTTTTCTGGATCTTCCCAAATCCCAAAACAGGAAAGATCTTAAAAACAAATCCTCTAATCATGGCATTTCCTTTCTTCATGAGAATACAGCACATTCCAAACTTAACTGCAGAGCCCTTTATTAGGATGAAACCACTCATTCTAAAATCTAAAAGAAACATTCTTGTCAAATGGATCTGGGAGCTCAAATATTACTTCTGTCTCACAGCTGCTGGAAGGAAACTTCAGGATTGCTCTATATGTACACTTCCCTTCCTCCTACATTCACCAGCCAACAGTCCTACCTTAGCCCTATCCCCCACTCATTCATTCCCACTGGCACCTGCTTTCTTCAGGCCCTATCATCACTTGGGTGAATACAGGTCCTGGATGGGTTTCCCTGCTCTCTGTCTCTCTTCACTCCCAATGGTGTTGCCAGATGCACCTTTCAGACCTGCGAACAGCACTGGATCCCTTCTGTGCATAGAGCTCTCAATAGCCAATTGTTCTTTGTAGGGAGCACAGAGGGCTGAGCAGACTAAGCCCCAGATCTCCCTCCCTCCACAACACAGGAGCTGCTCTTCATCTCCCTCTTTTGTCTTATGCAGTTTGGATGAAGGATTTCATCGAAAAGGAAGCATGTTCCTTAAACAAACAAACAAACAAACCAAAAAACCCCACAAACCACTGATCACAAGATAAACCCCTAATTCCTTTTCACGGCATTAGAAGGTCCTCCAAGGACAGCCCCATCCTTTCCAGGAGCCTCAGCTCCTGCCATTTCTCCCAATAACCTCAGCTCTAAGCCCTCATCAAGGGCATAACCTCTAACATATCAGGGTTCCCACACCCCTTGTTGGAATGACCTTTTAACTTATCTCCCCCACAAAGGACTTGTAAGCAATCTTGAAGACGCTGCTCATTTGTTACTTCCTCGTCGAATCTTCCTCAGCTTCCCTAGATAATTATTCCCTTCTTCATGCTCCCGCAGTATTATGATCCTTTTATCATCATCATCTCCTACGCTGCATTGCTATTTTGTCTTTCTTCCTTGCACTGTGTCCCACTGACCTCAGCACTGAGCACAGCTTTCTTGGCACAGTGGGCATTCTCCAGTTAATTAATGCTCTCATGCTGTGTAAAACCAAATCTTTTCCCATCAATTTTATTAAGGCCTGTGTATGAGAACTTCTAAATTCAACCTTTAAAAGCAAACAATCAAATGAACAAAAATATCCACTTACAATATGTAGTACATCCCCTACATACGAACCTTCGAGTTGCGAACTCTTAAAGGTGCGAACTAACTTTGCTGGACTTACCAACAAATTGGACTTACGAACATGTTCTCAGAACAGAATTCATTCGTATGTAGGGGACTTACTGTACTAGAAAAAGAAAAGAACCTTTGAAGAGGGGGAAGAATGTGGGGTGATTGAACAAAACCAAGAATCACAGCTGATTAACTGAGTTCTGAGTTTTGCAAAGATCTGCTGTTTGTGCATATGTGGAAACTCCTAGGAACTTGTAGGCACCAGGGTGAGCTGTTTTTGAAGGATAAGGCTAACATTTTCCCCTTCATTTTACATACAATTGAGCATCACTAATTCAGATCAAAGGGCGGGATAACTGTTTGAATTAATGAAATTCTGTGTCATAAGATATTTTCAAAGTAATTGCTTTTTTAACACTTTAGACTTAATTTAATAAAAGCACAGGTTCATTTCAAATGTATGTATTCATCACATGCAAAGTATACTGTTAATCACTTAAGAAAAGTTTAGTATTTGTTTGTGTCACCAATTCCACTACAAGCATTATTTTTCAAAGATAGGTCAAAGGGAAACTTCATGATACTTGGTCAGATGATCACAATTCTGAACTAGGTTCAGATAAACTGTTAACATTTCAACATCACGTTGTTTTTCAGCAAATATGCATTAATGCATAGTATTCCCAAGACTGGAATGAAGAACTGGGCTAGGGAGAGGCCATTCTGTACTCACTTCATGTTTCCAAATTATTTTCATGGTGAATTTAGCCAGTTTTCCGTGGCTCACAAAACTCTAGGCTGGCTTGAGTTTCCTGCTTCCTTCTTTGGCAAGACTACACCAAACCTTTTCAAGAGATGTGTTCTTACTTAGAGGAAAGGAAATATCAGATCCAAGCTGTTTTACATGTACCAGATGCCAAGCACCAAACAAAGCAGCTCAGCTTTTCAAAGACTTGATATCATAACTCTAGCCATTTGAGTAAAGGCTCAGTCCTGGAATGGCCACGTTAAATAAGGCAGAATTAGGGCTAAACTGATCTCCACGTCTAGTCTTCATAA